GGGAGGGAGGATGGAGGAGGTGCTGGGCTAGCTGGGTAAGTTAGTATGCTCTTGACTGTCGAAGTGGTCAGGCGTATGATTCATTGCTCGCCACAGCCCTCACTCCATCGCGCTTACTCAAAATAGTCTTTTTATAGCATTTTCAGATATTTTTCCACTATTTATGGGCCAGTTTTGAAAAATAATGTCTCATTTGAAAGGGCAAAGAAATATGAAGAATTTGTTGTTTGTACTTTTTCATTATTAAGAAAATTGATAAGGAAAGGTTGAATATTGTATAAAACAAAACAAAATAATAATATTGATAGATTAAAAGTAATTCAAACTATTCATTAATTATATTGATAACTATCACCTAAATAATTTGCAAGAAAATTCACCATGGGATGGCAGAGAAATATCAAAATGAAATTTCTTGACATTTTTATTTCTTTATAAAAAAAACACTTACCAAAATGCTTGAAACTTGTATATAATCAATACTGTACAGATATACATAACATATATAAAAATCATGAAAATCGGATGATAAATAATATTGTCCAAGTCAGTATCCTTAATGTTGTACAGTTGTACCCCACTTAACGCGGTCAATTGAACCCAGAGGGTCCCGCGTTAAGTGAAATCCGCGTTAAGTGAACAACAGAACATATGGGATTAATTCCAATAGAAACCGGCCCGACCCCCAAACTCCACTTTTTGAAGGCACATACCTATGTTTTAGTAAAAATAACATCTTAATTTTATGATGGTACATGCACACAATAAATACTTAAGAGAAATAGAGAAATACAGTCGCCAAGTTAATGTCCATTCAAATAATGGACTCAACTACCTCCCCCTCTCACACTACACTGCTGGCTCTTCCCTCTCAGAGAAATTTTTGGGGGAAAACCACTAAATTTTAATAAATAATACCTCAAACTAAAGTTAGGATAATACAATTGACATTGCTGGATTCCTTGTAAGACCAGGAATATTTTGAATATAAATGTCATATATTTTGCACAAAAGATAACATAGTTACCTAGAGAAAAATTTTTATCTAAAATTTGTATGTTTAATGCAAAATATATGATGTTTATATTCAAAATGATCACCAAATTATAAGAATTCCAGCAATGTAAATTATATTCTGACCGGGTAATTTGTATGAATTTTATGAGCTAAAACAAATATCTTCAGTTAATAAAAAAAAAATAATCTTCACAACACTATCTGTCAATCAAAGTACCCCACCTTGCCTCCCCCCCTCTTCCAACCGCGCGGTCAGTCCCAACCCTCCCCCCCACCCCCCACCAATCCTCCCTTCCAGGGTTTTTAACATTTAGTATTAAATAATACCTCAGATTAAAGTTAGGATAATATAATTGACATTGCTGGATTCCTTGTAAGACCAGGAATATTTTGAATATAAATGTCATATATTTTGCACAAAAGATAACAGTTAATTTGAGAAAAATTTTTATCTAAAATTTGTATGTCTAATGCAAAAATATGTTTATATTCAAAATGATCATCAAATTATAAGAATTCCAGCAATGTAAATTATATTCAGACCGGGTAATTTGTATGAATTTTATGAGCTAAAACAAATATCTTCAGTTAATAAAAAAAAATAATAATTCTTCACTGGGTAACAGATGGTCGGTCGGTCCCTCCCTCCCCCCCACCCCCCACCAACCGTCCCAAGGAGATGTGTGGGATAACCACTAAATTTTAATAAATAATACCTCAAACTAAAGTTAGGATAATATAATTGACATTGCTGGATTCCTTGTAAGACCAGGAATATTTTGAATATAAATGTCATATATTTTGCACAAAAGATAACATAGTTAATTTGAGAAAAATTTTTATCTAAAATTTGTATGTCTAATGCAAAAATATGATGTTTATATTCAAAATGATCATCAAATTATAAGAATTCCAGCAATGTAAATTATATTCAGACCGGGTAATTTGTATGAATTTTATGAGCTAAAACAAATATCTTCAGTTAATAAAAAAAATAATAATTCTTCACGGGGTAACAGATGGTCGGTCGGTCCCTCCCTCCCCCCCACCCCCCACCAACCGTCCCAAGGAGATGTGTGGGATAACCACTAAATTTTAATAAATAATACCTCAAACTAAAGTTAGGATAATATAATTGACATTGCTGGATTCCTTGTAAGACCAGGAATATTTTGAATATAAATGTCATATATTTTGCATAAAAGATAACATAGTTAATTTGAGAAAAATTTTTATCTAAAATTTGTATGTCTAATGCAAAAATATGATGTTTATATTCAAAATGATCATCAAATTATAAGAATTCCAGCAATGTAAATTATATTCAGACCGGGTAATTTGTATGAATTTTATGAGCTAAAACAGGCAGTCAGGCAGGGTGGGGCAAATCTAAAAATAGCGTCTGGAGCCGGACACTCACCGCGTATATGTGGAAAAAATCCGTGTTAAGTGAAAGTTCAGCTCTGGCGAGGCACCGCGTATATGATAAAACGCGTTAAGTGAAACCGCGTTAGGCGGGGTAATACTGTACTTGCATCAAAACTCCTTGTCCTGCTTCTGTGATAAGTTGCTGCATCACACGATGCAAATGACACCCTGATCCATGAGTTGGATGAGTAAGGTGGTGTTGGGCAGGAGAAACATCACCTCAATGCTGTCACCCAATCCTCCATTCTGGCAGGGTGTGAAGGTGCATTATCCAGGACTAGAAGAAATTTGTTGGAGGTGTTTTTACTGTCAGCATACTCCTTTAGCCAGTTGGAGAGGTAGCCAACCTGGTACAGCACAGTGGTCACCCATGCCTTGGTATCCACCTGACTTGCTGCATTCTGAACTATTATGTGCTCAGTGAGGGCTGCCGTGAGCTTGACAGAATTCTGATGTTCCTCTGGATGAGTCAATCCCATTCCTCCCAGTCTCGGTGGTACTGCAAGGAGTGACTTTTCTGCTGAAGTTAAGTAAGGGTTTTTCACTAGTATTGAGATAAAAGTGACCTTAATGGCTTCTTCCAGAGGGTGGAGGAGGGGTCAGATATTGGGGATGGTGCACATCAGGTAATTCCAGTGATGCTTGACTCTATGGGTGAATGCTTCAAAAGCTGCATGTAGCTCAGTTTTAGCAATCTCCGAAAGAGCATGAATTTCTTTCGCCCACTCATTTACCTTTCCAGTTACGTACTCGGTCACGAAATCACTCGTGCCTAATACCACACCTTGATGTCTTTGGCCCTCCTTTGTTATTCTGACCTCATTTCTGCCGATCATGGTACATGTATTCTGGCTTCACAATGAGGAAGGACTTGCTGGCGTTTGGTTGGTACCCTATTTGTGGACCTCGTGATGTTACCAGGTCCCACCACTTTTTGATGTCCTCCACTTTTCATGCTCCTGTAAGGTCATCAGCATAAGCCTCTTACTACTTTTTTATATTTTTATATTTTTGTATATAACAATGGCTTCCAACCTCCCCCAATAGCCACACCTTTGCCCGAGAACAATTAGAATGGAGGACTGTGGTTGCCAACCCTCAAATATTAGGACAGTACTCTGATTGATTGATACTGTATCTAATCAGTACAATAAGACTCATACTCTTAGATCTACAATGATTCTTATCATACCCCATAACACTGAGCAATCAATGTATTGTTTCACACATCACCTATGCTTGAGGAAAACCTGATCACCATTTTACAGCCATTTTTCATGCTAGTGTAATGATTGTTTATCAGACCACAGCTTACAGCACAGAGAATTACAACACATATAACATTAAGTATAGGCCCACGAGGTAACACACATACCAAGTTGACACACCCTGGGTCAGGGCCCAAGGGACCTGACCCTGGCCACTAAGTACTTGACGGAGTAACAGGACCTACAACCACACCTTGGTAGAGGTCATTTGCCGGCTGGTTCTCCTCAATATAAAGGCCCTGCAGTCCCGGCCACGGCTCTCTCTCATTCGGGTCATCATTCTGTTCATTCACCCATTGCTCCAGACTTCACTGTCACGTCACTATCGACAGAAGACAGAGTCACGCTCGACCACCCCAAGTCTCCCTCCCGACCCCCGCATCACCAGCTAAGCAGTCTCCCATAGGAGACAGTCCAGAAGCACCTGCTGGGCCTCCCTCAGGTCACACGCGAGTCTTTGTCAGAGCTATCCATAGGGTGAGTTACTTATGGTGGGAAGTGTATTCATTTCATGTTTGTGTCCGAGAGTCAGTGTCTAGTAACGTAAATATAATGTTCGAGTAATGTGTCCATGCCACATAATGTGCTTGTAACTTTGATAGAAGGTGTTATTAATGTGTCAATGCCATTGTCATAATTATTAAATAGTTGTATTGAAGCAGTGTTTGAGAAGATGTCTCCTAAGAACATAAGAATATAATATAAGATTAAATAACTAACCGGCCACGCTACCAAACTTCCTCTCTTTACATTCCTATTACTATGAATATTCTACCTATATGTATATCTTCTATATGAGTTTTGTCTTGTTAGACTAGCATGGGTTAGCCATGGTTACTTGAAGGCACCTCTCCAAGCTGAATAGTCTATTGCAGCCCCTTTTGTCAGATTCTTATCTGAGATCATTCACACAACCTCTCCCCATGTCATTCTTGGCCTACCCCTATTGTTGTTCTTTCTCGTCCCCTTCACATTTAAACTCAATCATCTCTTGACTCAACTGATCTCCTTCATTCTCTTCACATAATTGAAAAATCTTAACCTAAAGAAACTCACAAGTAAAAGGTGGTCCCTGAACACTATATGACCATTGTATTGTCAAGCTTGGTCAAAAGTATTGATTGAAGTTCTTGTAATAATATGAATCATGGAATGATATGACTGGGAAATGTATATAAAGAACATTATCCATTGTAGTAATATAAAACAAACTTTTTTCTCTTTAACCATAAGCCTGAAGAAGATCAATAAAAAGTCTTAGATTTACATAAAAATAAAGGACAATACCTATCCCTTGAAGTCTTTGTTGTTTATCTGGTGATCTTGACATATTTTCAGTTGTTGAGAAAGATAATACTGCTGCTTGTTTTTGGCGTCCCAAATCCGACCGCAGCTCCTCCCTAATATCTTCTGGTAAGGCTTCCAAGAAACTTGAATCCACCTACAAGATCAATCACAACTTATGAGTGTAGTTCAAGAAAAAATTTAAAATATTGTAACATACAAAATCTGTATTTTAATTTGATCATGTCTGATGCTTATTTGTTCTAAACATATAATTCCTTCTAAATGTTGACTGAGAAGCCATTATTAAAACAAAAGGCTTGATTGATTGATTGTGGCAATAACATCCCAGGTTGTGCAACAGCTTAGGTCATATGCTGCCAAATTAAACTAAAAGCTTAGAAGACTAAAAAAAATACACTTCTCCACCCATATTTGCAAATTCACTTTTTCAGTGAAAAATTATTAGTGACACTTTATTCAAGATTCACAATAAAAATTCTGCAATCTGCAAGGCTATTAGAAATTTTGTGACTGTCCGTTGGCAGATGTGCATCTACCGCACACACTCTGTGGTTAGTCAGTTCTCTCATGTGTGCCGCACTGTTCTCCCCTTCTCACTACACCCAGTACACGGACACGGGATTGATTGATTGATTGTGGTAATTACATCCCTGGTGATGCACAACAGCTTGGGTTATATGTTCCCTATTTTAAATTAAAGCTTAAAAGACTAAAATCACATAATGCAAGGTAAATAACATAATTTATATATAACATAGAACTGTCATTAAACCATTCAAACATTAATAGATAAAACTCAAAGTTTGTGTAGAAGGCCGGTTTCACCCACGAAGGAGAGGACGTCCCCTTCTACACTACCCATGCCTCCCCCCAGCCCAGCCCCAAACAGATGGCAAGACCCATCCCCCCAGCACTGGGAGAGGTGCTTACGACGAAGATCTATGAGATTGGGACACTCCACCAGTAGGTCTCGAACAGTTAATGGGACCAGGCATTTATCACAATGGGGAGGGATGCTCTTTCCATTAAAAAAACAGGAGTCAGCCCAGTGTGGCAATGTGGAGACAGGAGAAAGCAGTCTCCCGGTGGCGTGACAGTCCCCGATATCCCCAGGCACCCAATGCAGGGTGGATGTGGCGGAGCTTGTTTGCTCCGAGCGCATCCCACCTGTATTTCCAACTCAAGCAGATGGCCGTTCTCATAACTGGTTTCATATAAGAGGCAGGTAGAGGGTAATGACTCGCCACAGGACAATAAGCAGCTGCTTTAGCCACAGTATCAGTATGCTCATTCCCCTTCTCCAAACAAAAATTGACTTTCTGGCCCTGACATTAGATGAAAAACAGCCACTGTAAAATATCTATAACTAATGGATATGGCGATGTGACACTAGCTAAGGCCTGGAAAGTAATACGAGAATCACTAAAAATTGTAAAATCATTATGAGGTTGGGTAAAATTAATCTTGAGGGCAAGTAAAATACCTGACAGCTCTGCAGTAATACAGTGGTCCCTCGGTTAACGAATGGTTCGATTAACGAATTACCTCCCATAAGGATATTCAATTCGGTTAACGAACAAACCTCGATTAACGGAATCCTTACGACAAACACGTTTTGTTGTGAGCATCAGCTGATGGGCTAGTCTGCCAATTCAGTAATCTGTTCTATGTTTACATTCGTTTCCAGTGGAGTAAATATCAAGAAAATTGTGCTCTTTAATACTTGTGTATTTTATAAATTAAAATTATTGATTATTCTATAATTTAGCCATCCAAGCTCTGTCTACAAAAAGTTTTTCATATATTATTTTTGGCACGATATATGTAATTTTATTTATTTACTGAAACTCATTTACATGCACACATTCTCCTAAGGGTAAAGCTGTACTGTACATGTAATCAAAATAATGTACAAAATGATTATTAAAATTTTTGTCTAGTGCAAACTATCACATGTTTACATTCAAATTAATCACTATCTTATAAGAATTCCAGCAATGTAAATTATATTCTCCCCAGTCACTTCTATGACATTTTATAAGCAAAAAACATAAACTCAATCTAAAGGACATAAATAAACAAATAAATACTTCACTAGACCTTAGGTGCCAACTGTCAAACATGTCAGTCACCCCCCCCCCTCAGCAAGGGTTTGGTGGTTATACAGTAGGCCTTAAGTTTTTATCTTATATAATATCTCAGACTAAAGTTAGGAGATTGTAATTTGCATTGCAGGAATCCTTGCAAGACAGTGAATAATTTGAATATAAACACCATATATTTTGCACAAGAGATAAAAATTTTAGTACATTAGTGTACAGAACTGTAGTACATTTTATAATGTAAAGTTTTTCCACTGTATTTTTGGGTAGATTTTACACAAATTTCTTCATTTATTTTCATTCATTTATATGCATACACCATACTAAAAGAAACGTAAAAGAAATAAATGACCTAAGTGCAAACCTGTATTGTACATGAACTAAATGGTTACTGTACTAAAATTGTTATGTCTAGTGCAAATTACAGTTTTACCCCGCTTAACACGCTTTCACTTAACGCGTTTTCGCATATACGCGGTGCCTTGCCAAAGCTGAACTTTCACTTAACGCGGGTTTTTTCCACATATACGCGGTGAGTGTCCGAGACGCTATTTTTAGATTTGCCCCACCCGCCACCCTGCCTGACTGCCTGTTTTAGCTCATAAAATTCATACAAATTACCAGGCCAGAATATAATTTACATTGCTGGAATTCTTATAATTTGGTGATCATTTTGAATATAAACATCATATATTTTGCTTTAAACTTACAATTTTTAGATAAAAATTTTTCTCTAGGTAACTATGGTATCTTTTGTCCAAAATATATGACATTTATATTCAAAATATTCCTGGTCTTACAAGGAATCCAGCAATGTCAATTATATTATCCTAACTTTAGTTTGAGGTATTATTTATTAAAATTTAGTGGTTATCCCACACATCTCCTTGGGACGGTTGGTGGGGGGGAGGGAGGGACCAACCGACCATCTGTTACCCTGTGAAGAATTATTATTTTTTTTTATTAACTGAAGATATTTGTTTTAGCTCATAAAATTCATACAAATTACCCGGTCAGAATATAATTTACATTGCTGGAATTCTTATAATTTGGTGATCATTTTGAATATAAACATCATATATTTTGCTTTAAACTTACAATTTTTAGATAAAAATTTTTCTCTAGGTAACTATGGTATCTTTTGTCCAAAATATATGACATTTATATTCAAAATATTCCTGGTCTTACAAGGAATCCAGCAATGTCAATTATATTATCCTAACTTTAATCTGAGGTATTATTTAATACTAAATGTTAAAAACTCTGGAAGGGAGGATTGGTGGGGGGTGGGGGGGAGGGTTGGGACTGACCGCGCGGTTGGAAGAGGGGGGGAGGCAAGGTGGGGTACTTTGATTGACAGATAGTGTCGTGAAGATTATTTTTTTTTTATTAACTGAAGATATTTGTTTTAGCTCATAAAATTCATACAAATTACCCGGTCAGAATATAATTTACATTGCTGGAATTCTTATAATTTGGTGATCATTTTGAATATAAACATCATATATTTTGCTTTAAACTTACAATTTTTAGATAAAAATTTTTCTCTAGGTAACTATGTTATCTTTTGTCCAAAATATATGACATTTATATTCAAAATACAGTATTACCCCGCCTAACGCGGTTTCACTTAACGCGTTTTATCATATACGCGGTGCCTCGCCAGAGCTGAACTTTCACTTAACACGGATTTTTTCCACATATACGCGGTGAGTGTCCGGCTCGAGACGCTATTTTTAGATTTGCCCCACCCGCCACCCTGCCTGTTTTAGCTCATAAAATTCATACAAATTACCCGGCCAGAATATAATTTACATTGCTGGAATTCTTATAATTTGATGATCATTTTGAATATAAACATCATATATTTTGCATTAGACATACAAATTTTAGATAAAATGTTTTGAGTAAATATGTTATCTTTTGTGCAAAATATATGACATTTATATTCAAAATATTCCTGGTCTTACAAGGAATCCAGCAATGTCAATTATATTATCCTAACTTTAATCTGAGGTATTATTTAATACAAAATGTTAAAATCTAAATTTTTCACCCAACCTTTCTCTTGAAGGGACGATTGGTGGGGGGTGGGGGGGAGGGTTGGGACTGGCCGCGCGGTTGGAAGAGGGGGGGAAGGCAAGGTGGGGTACTTTGATTGACAGATAGTGTCCTGAAGATTATTTTTTTTTTATTAACTGAAGATATTTGTTTTAGCTCATAAAATTCATACAAATTACCCGGCCAGAATATAATTTACATTGCTGGAATTCTTACAATATGATGATCATTTTGAATATAAACATCATAGATTTTGCATTAGACATACAAATTTTAGATCTACTGTAAGTATTTTGTTTACTCTGAGCAAATATGTTATCCTTTGTGCAAAATATATGACGTATATATTCAAAATATTCCTGGTCTTGCAAGGAATCCAGCAATGTGAACTATATTATCCTAACTTTAGTCTGAGGTATTATTTATTACTAAATAGGTAATATTCTGTTTTCTCCCAAACATTTCTCTGGTAAGGAGGGAAGGTGGGGGGTGGGGAGGATTGAGGGACCAACCAACCCAGCTGGCGTGGTGTGGAGGGGGGAGGCAAGGTGGGGTATTTTGATTGACAGATAGTGTCGTGAAGAATATATTTTTTTTTTTTATTAACTGAAGATATTTGTTTTAGCTCATAAAATTCATACAAATTACCCGGCCAGAATATAACTTACATTGCTGGAATTCTTACAATTTGATGATCAATTTGAATATAAACATCATAGATTTTGCATTATACATACAAATTTTAGATATAATGTTTACTCTGAGTAAATATGTTATCTTTTGTGCAAAATATATGACATTTATATTCAAAATATTCCTGGTCTTACAAGGAATCCAGCAATGTCAATTATATTATCCTAACTTTAGTCTGAGGTATTATTTATTACTAAAAAGGTAAATATTCTGGTTTCTCCCAAACATTTATCTGGTAGGGAAGGGTTGGTGGGGGTGGGGGGGAGGGAGGGACCGACCGACCATCTGGCGAGGTTGGAAGAGGGGGGAGGCAAGGTGGGGTACTTTGATTGACAGATAGTGTCGTGAAGAATATATTTTTTTTTATTAACTGAAGATATTTGTTTTAGCTCATAAAATTCATACAAATTACCCGGCCAGAATATAATTTACATTGCTGGAATTCTTACAATTTGATGATCATTTTGAATATAAACATCATAGATTTTGCATTAGACATACAAATTTTAGATATAATGTTTACTCTGAGTAAATATGTTATCTTTTGTGCAAAATATATGACATTTATATTCAAAATATTCCTGGTCTTACAAGGAATCCAGCAATGTCAATTATATTATCCTAACTTTAATCTGAGGTATTATTTAATACTAAATGTTAAAATTTAGTTTTTTCACCCAACATCTCTTGAAGGGAGGATTGGTGGGGGGTGGGGGGGAGGGTTGGGACTGACCGACCACCTGGCGTGGTTGGAAGAGGGGGGGAGGCAAGGTGGGGTACTTTGATTGACAGATAGTGTCGTGAAGAATATTTTTTTTTTTATTAACTGAAGATATTTGTTTTAGCTCATAAAATTCATACAAATTACCCGGCCAGAATATAATTTACATTGCTGGAATTCTTACAATTTGGTGATCATTTTGAATATAAACATCATAGATTTTGCATTAGACATACAAATTTTAGATATAATGTTTACTCTGAGTAAATATGTTATCTTTTGTGCAAAATATATGACATTTATATTCAAAATATTCCTGGTCTTACAAGGAATCCAGCAATGTCAATTGTATTATCCTAACTTTAGTTTGAGGTATTATTTATTAAAATTTAGTGGTTTTCCCCCCAAAATTTCTCAGAGGGAAGAGCCAGTGAGTATAGTGTGAGAAGAGGGGGAGGGACTTGAGTCCATTATTTGAATGGACATTAACTTGGCGACTGTATTTCTTTTAAGTATTAATTGTGTGCATGTACCATCATAAAATTAAGATGTTATTTTTACTAGAACATAGGTATTGTGTTGGAAAAAGTGGAGTTTGGGGGTCGGGCCAGTTTCTATTGGAATTAATCCCATATGTTCTGTTGTTCACTTAGCACGGTTTTCACGGTACCCTGTGCGTTTTATTGACCGCGTTAAGCGGGGTACTACTGTATATATAAAGTGATTTAAGGGCGATTTAGGGGAATTTTAGGAGTGTTTCTGATTTTATTCATTTTTGGCTTTACTTTGTATGGACTTTTCTGTGAGCTGGAACCAATTACCCAATATCCCATTGAAATAATGGATTCGGTTAACGAACGACTCTATGGAATGAATTGTGTTCGTTAACCGAGGGACCACAGTATGTGTAGTGATAAAAGTGTATAGCTGCTGGTGATTAATAGTATTCAATGTCATAATCCAAACGTGCATTATCTGGGATGTTCCCATAATTGTATTTATTAAGACTGTTTCTCACCTACGAGGATGCCATCCTACAAGAATCACTACAAGAAAGAGGCATTAAATGTTAGTTCTTGGAGCGAACAATAAACAAGACCCAGTAACTTACCTGAGAGAAACTGGTAATTAAGCCTTCATTCTGTGCCTCTTCTGAATCATTGTTTTCTTGTTTGCTGAATTCTCGATTTATACTTCTTGCAAAATCAGTCAAATCATTTCCTCCACTTAACTCACTCATGTTTATTGCTGAACTACCTTCCTCGTGTTTACTATTATCAGATGTGTTGGTCTTGTACTCTTGTTTCCCTGATTTCTCGGAGGGTCTAACATAACCAGATGTGCTTGGCTTTCGTTCATCATTCACCACCACAGCATCACTACCAGTGCTATCACTCAGATTTGGGATGGTGAAGCCCTGCTGAACATACTCAGCAACCACTTCATCTCTAATATCCTCAGGAAGAGCCATGAGAACTTCTGGGTCAATGCTGCCTTTCCCAGCTGATGCACTTTTGCTTGTTAAAGGCAATTTTTCATCATAGATTGCTGCACGATGTCCTGTCCTAGAGCCTTGTGCCTGAGGTGTTCCTGGATGGCTTTTGTAGTCTGGTTCAAGCTGTAATTTGGAACTTGTAGTGGGTAGACCTACCTTATGATCCTCTTGAAAGGAAAAATTACCCATTTCTGTTGACTTCAACGGACTGGGTTTAGAGTTACCTGATCTCTTCTTGGTGTTAATCTTGGCTGCTAATAAAAAGCTTTTTATAGACAATCCACGGCCCGATTCAGAGCCACCTGATGTTCCTTGATGTCCTTCCAGACGTGAAACCTAATTATAAAAAATATAATACAGTATAAATGATAATTATCAATACAGTATTAATTTACTGTATATGTTTTTAATGTAGTAAAAGTACAGTAGTAAGAACCTAAATAGCAAATATATTATGTAAATATTGTATTACATACAAGACAACTGTGTCTTCTAAATATAAATTAATTTACACCATTCTCTTTTTAATGAAAGAGTCCTTAACCAGTGATCAGTGCAATAATATATTTGTGTGAAGCATGTGATGATTAATTATATTAAGATCTATTTTTTTTTAATTAATTCCTGTATCATCTACTTAACAATAACTTGAAAAGAAAAAAGATACAGTACTGTACATATATTCTATGGCTGAACTAATTTAATCAATAACCTTAGACCTATCACATATATCTTTGAACTCTTCATCTTAGACTAAAAAAGACTCAATCATGTACCCAGAGGTACATCAATCAATTAAATTTCATACAGTAATTTAACACAGACACGATATATTTTACATAACGCATGCAAGCTTATGTAGCACAGTTTTGTTGGACAGAGATTAGTAATGCATGTAGTAATCTACCAATACTAGTCAATACCAAAATTTTGTTTTACATCTTTAATAACTTATTTAGTCTATACAGTCATTTACCTCTTACAAATTACAGTATTATAAAAAAATCCCTATCAACCTGAAATCTTCAAATGCCACACTAAACAATATTAGTTTTAACCCTTAAGCCCTGGGTTAGGGTGCTGCTGGCAGTACCCCCCATGCGGGGTTAAATCGAGAAAAAAATCAACATTTCCAAAATTAATTAATAAAAAAAAAAATTGGCGGGAAAATAGGCGGACGTTCTGGAACATCACCCGGGGCCTACGGGTTAGAATATCATCTATGAGGAACTTAACATGATGAAACTAGTGGTTTAATTATCATGAATTTCTAATACACTTTGTAGTTTCTGTGTCTTGTCTAAATTTGGAATCAAAATAATTTTGACTTCTACTACTGTACATATTTCAGGTAGACAGAGATAATATGTTGTTGATATTTGAAGACTTCCTCATTTAAGTCAATCTCCAATAAATATGAAATGGAGGATTATTCCCAAAATCTTATTTTATGCCCAAATCTGGACCAAGTGATTATTACACCCATCAAGTCTACAAGATGAAAACACAGGAAACTCTCCAATACCTGTATATACTTACAGTACAGTAGCTGGAACTACAGTAAAGTAATTCACTAATTTGTCATACTTTCATGTTCCAACCTGAGCACTTTTAAAGGGATCTTGGAAACAAAGGTTAGCAAAAGGCCAAAGGCTATCAACAGGGTTCACGTGCTACCATGTATCAACAATTGTTAATTTCAGGATGGAGAATTGTTTTTCTTGTAGAGTTTTGTTGAATAATATTTAGCTTAATGACAACCTCAGCAGCTGATCAAGATACGATTAACCTAACCTTGAGGATGAATTAAAAATGGAGTCTTTCTTCTCTAATATAGTAAACCCTTGAAGATCAGGACCCGGGAAATCTGGATTTCGGAAGATCCTGACAAAAAATTTGGGGGTTTTGGGCTAAGAAGCCTCCTAGAATTTTCCTGAAAAACATTCCCAAACCAGAGCAAAGAACATTTTAGGCCCGTGAGCGCTGTTTGACCCGTCAGCTGCTTGGACAGGTGTCCGAGGAGGTGGGAAACACTAACAGAGTTGATAATTGTTATTTGTGGGAATATTATTTCATTCACTCTAGTAATGATACAATGTTTCTTATTATGTTATCGTAGGTAAATGCATGGTTTATATACGGTAATTTGTTTATCACTACATTAGTACTGTAGTTTTGGTGTTTCTTATATCATTTATTATTTGCCGGAAAATCAGGACAATTGGCTTTTCCGGACAGGTGTTCCCCCCCCTTTTAGTCCAGATCTTCGAAGGTTCACTGTAGTTGTAAAAATTCTTCTCTTTTGTGGTTATGAGACTAAAAGTCTCACTGTCCTTAAAAAAAAATGGAAGAGCACAAACTGGAATCTACATACAATGCATCTGTCACATGGCTCACCTTATCCCATCATTCTAGGCTTCAAGCATCAGTTCCAGTGCTACCCAATAGGTGGAATGAGGGTAATAGGGTTACTTAGTCTAGGCTTGGTCATGGAATGGGGTTTCAGGTGTCCACATTTGTTCCACAAACTGAAATATATTTCAGAATGAAGGAGGTTTGCCTTCACCTCAACCCCAATCCTGCATGAAATCAACCTTAATCCTGCCACTAACTGTCAGATACTTATCTGAAATTCTTAGCAGGAAAGGGTTATGAATCAGTGATCTTGCTGTTATGTTGAGGCTCTGCCAGTGTTGAGAGTAGAGTCAACCCTCGCTTTACGCGGTCCCACATTCCGCGTTTCCACGTTAACGCGGTGCCCTGCCAGAACCTAACGTGCTCACATTACGCGGTGCGTGAACCCCATTACGCGGAGAGTGTCCGGCGCGACGCTATTTTTAGATTCGCCCCACCAGCCTGCCTGCCTGTGCTCTTGCCTCTCCCTCCTCCTCCCTCCCTCCCTCCTCCCTCCGCCTGGGCAAGCCGTGGCCCATCACTTTTTGGTAGATTTTAGTGTATATAAACAGAAAATAATTTCAGTTCAATATTTTGCAACCTTTTGCTAGGTAAATTTTAGCGTGAAATTTATCGAAAATCTAACGATACTGGCTGCATTGTGCATTACAATTAAATAGTGAACATTGCTTTCTGACTTCATTCTTTAACAACCCAACTAACAATATTTTTTCTGTTTCAGATTCTGATGCATTTATAAGTTGATAATATTTGCGATGGCTGCTGTCAGGACGAGGAACCAAAAATCAACCATCTCAGTCACTATCTTGGGTCTGGGGAGAGCTCCTGAAGTGGAGTTGCCTACATTGAGATGCTTTGAGATACGGTGTTTTAATCAGGCAAATCAGTGAAAAAGAACCAAAGAACTACACAAACAAGACATTGCCAGTGATATGACCAAAGCTGTCTTGGCACAGTACACTGGCTACTTGCTCAGTTCAAGCCTCCAGTCATAACAAGTCCAGAAGAAGATTAGTGAGAGACTGCTAGCCAGTTGGGAAAAGGCAGAGATATCTCTCTTGAGAGAGGAAAACTTGCAGTTAAGGACAGCTTTGCCAAGCAACTGGACCAGTTATTTGACATAATTACTTGAAGTGCCCAATTGTTCTCTGTCCTGAGTTTGGATGCGATCGTGACTGTAAATCCGAGGCCCACATCTCCTGTATTTGCAAGCGTGAACTGAAGATTCCTGTGATCGAACTGGCATTTGTCAAAGCACAGAGAGAAGCTGGCAGTATAGGGGCTCTCATGATTTCTAGCCAAGATATTCCAGTCAAAGACAGGAGGCTGCCACAGAGAGACAGAAGAAGAGAAAGTTGCCGAGGAAAAGAGACTTGAGAAAGGCCAGGGTGAGGTAAAAAGGCCGATGATTGAGTCAAGCTGATTCAGAGTTTAATGACTTCCCATAGCTGATCCGAGTGCTGACCAGGAGAATGGTGACTTTGTCCCTAACCCAAAATAATGATCCCAAACCTTCCAGGCATAAGATTGAAATAGGAAAGATATCGAGCATAGCTCTGGCCAGCATGCGACACCACACTGGTCTCAGAGAAACTGCAGAGATAGCAACAGCTGCCTGGATTGACGGTGGTTTGATAACACCTGATGATGTTCACCTGGTGATAGATCATAACAAAGTAAGGAGAGCTCAGGAGAAACTTGTCAGTAACCTAGAAGGAGTTTGATAAGGGGATAAGAAAATGGAATCAATTGTTTGTTCTTTGATGGGAGAAGGATGACACTAAAAGTGTTCATGAGTTGGAGATTCTGACAAGTTGTTCCCTGCCATGGTGAAGGAGGAACACTACTCCTGCTGCAGTGAACCAGGAGGAAGTATTTGGCATTTCACTCCAGAAAAGATGACATCGAAACCAGCTGAGATAGTGGCAGATAACATTGTGAACTGGCTCAGAGAGGAACGTAGACCGGCCTGCAGGCCATTGGAGGGACAGCACCAACACGAACACAGGATTGGCAAGGGGGTCATACAGTGATAGATGACAGTTGAACTCCCACTGCCTCCAGTCCAGTCTCTGAGTTCATCAAACACCATGATTTGCAGTGCCATCAAAACTGGGGTCATGCCTGATAGACTTGCTTACCTGCAGATGGGTCGTCTCACATTCTAGGTGGCTCACAACGGCTCTCAGGTTCTGCAGAATTTGGGTCGCTCATCATAAACTGAAAGGAACCAGCTTCACAACCTGAGACTTATTGTCCAATTCATCGTGAGTGTCTACTTGCCAAATTGGTTCAACACCAAGGTCAAGTCATCGTTCTCCAGGTCCGAGGCATGTTCTCTTCCAGCTTGAGCTCCTGAGAGTCAGCCAAGGAAGGTTGTTCAGATTGTGGAGCAGAATGTGAGGAGATCTTCCTGGTATGCTCATCGAGGCAGTTCTGCAGACAATGCTCTGCAGTAAGGATGAGGAGGAGAGAAGAGTGGCAGTCAAAAGATCTTGGATATGAGACTTATGAGAGGA